ATTTGAGTTAAGTTTCTTAAACTATGGATCAAATATGCTTTTATAAAAAGCCTGTAATTCGAGTATTATCCACTATGCCGAGTTGTTGATAGCTTGACATGACTTACATGTTGTTGATTTGGACACTGTGCAATTGTCGTAAGATAGTTTGACATTACTTAAATATGGTAGATAGTCTGACATTGTCTATATGTTATTGTTTAACTTGCTGCTTATGTGGATATTTACATATTTTGATATGTGAGGATGATTTGAATTTCAAAGTGAGTTGAGTTCACTTTAATTGTGATTTGCCAATTATGAGTATCTTTTGGATAAAATTATATTTGATCCATATTTTTGTTTTATTTCCTTTAATTATGATGTTCAGTACACTCAAGAAAATTATTGATTTTAAGATGCCAAAATTTAGAGTGAGGTTCACTACTGCACTAGCAGGGTAGAGATGGGGGAAAACTAAAGAATCTAGTTGATGTACATATTGTACAGGAGTGTCTGTTTCCCTGTTGTTTGTTGTGAAGGAATGAAATCCCAAATTTTTTATTTTGGTACAAACGACATTGTTGTGTACTCTGTTATATAGTTTTTTTTGTATTGTGGCATTAGGTGTCATTATTGATTTTTAAATGCATTACTGCATTACAAATGCATGTATCACCACGTGCTGAGTTACACTTCCATCTCTAGGAAACCAAAGAAGGTCTCTCAGCATGGGGTGTGACAAAGAGCGGACCATAGAATCAGCCAAGGGAAGAAAGAAATTGTAAGAAACGCTAGATAATTACTTGTATAAATAGAACACGGATACACTGTAGATGGGTGTTCCAAAAAATTATATTCAGAGACACTGTATTCAAAGACTCTAAGCCAAGAAACCCAATGTAATCTTCTTTTTCAAGCAATATAAACTCCACAAAGCAAAAGTTTCAATTGCAGTGGATGTAGCCTTGGTTATTCGACTAAGGTGAACTACTTATATACAATTTTTTGTTCAACTTCATCTTTTACTTCTTTATTAACTTAAATATTCACATCACCCTTCATTGGATCTCATAACCATTGTTCTGCACATGGGCCAAGTAATTTCGAGCACCATCAAATATAAACAGTCTTATTCCTGCAAACGGAGTGGCCAATGACACCCATTGTATCCAAATGGAGACAAATCAATGAGGAATAAGTGAGTTCAGGTTAGGCAATTCAAAATCCATTACCATATGAGACAAATAGTCGGATTCGGACAAAATCAACCATTGATATGTCTAATTGTAGAAAGGTAGTATATCCAAAGTTGTACTTTACTTTCGGAGAAAATCATCTAAACTAGGCTCAACATTCAACAACATTCCAAGTACAATCAATCTCAAGTTTTGAATTTTCTTTAAAAGAAAATGGAATTAGTGGCAACATATATTAGATTTTTTTTTTTTAATTTTTTTTTCAACAGACATTTAACAGATTTGAATGACAGTAATGTATCCAATTTTACAATTTCCAGGACTCATATTGGTGCCCAAATTAGGAGAGGGGGTGGGGGGTGTTTGAAGGGGAGAGAATGAAGAACCACCTTTTTTTCTCAGTCAAAGGCAACCTTGATTCAAACTAAAGCACCTCATTAGCTGAGAATACAGTACAGAGCCTTTAAACAACTTCACCACCAATTTTTCAATCCTTCTAGATCTGATGGACCACAAACTGTCTACCTTATTTTGTTTCGTTGAATTTTATACTCTTTTTAGGTGAACCAAGTTGGAGGATTCTACAGATTTATAGCTAAAATTAGCCAAGGAGTTGAACTGTTGGGAGGTCCCCTTCATCTGGCAGCATCATATCACCAAGTTGAAACTCGGTGAGTTCAAATTTAGAAATGAATCTTTCTAAAGTAGAAATAAAATTGTCTATTACTTATCTATTTCAAATCCCGTTATAAGTTTAAAGTTTTATGCATTAGGTGTGACCATCATATTCTAAATTAGTTCACCATGTATTCAATGCCAAAACCAAGAAAAGTTTCAGAAGTACAAATCTCAAATATTAATAGAGTGGCACAATGGACTTCGTGCTTGCTAGACTTTCAGTTCAAGAATCTACACCTTTTTATGCAAACTCTAGGCTGTTGGATTGTGACTCAAGCCTTAAATTTCTCATCTCATTTTTGTAAGTTATCAATGCAATCGTTTTGGATAGGTTTGAAATAACGAACGTGAGGTTATGCACACGAAACAGAGGCCAGAGATGTCTTTGTGTAAGCATTATTAAATGGTAGGTTTGTACTCAATTCATTCCTCTCAACATCCCCGGTTACTAGGGAGCAAATTGTATAATAGCCCTGTTAGAGTATGTGTGACTCATATTTGTTGTGTGCATAATGGCAAGGAGACAGATGCCGGAGCGGAGCCCGCGACGGCATCTGCCTTGCGGGACCCCCGCAGTACGGTACAGGGGTATTTTTGTAAATACGTCCATATTAGGGTTATATAAATACTTAAGATGTAACCCTACTCTATAATGGAAAAGAACGGCCGCTCGCTCTCGTGGATGTAGGTACATTGCCGAACCACGTAAATCTCTGTGTGTTATTTTCTCCTGCTTTTTTAATTGTTTGATTCCTTACTATTCACCATAATTGCTGCACGATCACAACAAGCCCTCTTAGAATAAGAGAACAACAACCCATTTTTTTGGATTGATAAACTCTCCTTCTTGTAACTCGACTACCAGTCTAGTGGCAAAGGTCAGGCTTTCAAAAGAGTGGGCACCAGCATTCCAATCCCAGCACCATCACTTAGACAATCGAAAGAAAAAAAAAGAGAACTCTTTTTCTTGTATGTTGGTGATTTTCACATAAACTTGAGAATTGGTTGGTAAGGCAAAGTGGAAGGTGAATAACACTATCCCTGCCAAATCAAAGCATAGGTAACAGATTCTGTGTCTCATAAAATAGCATTTACTACAATGTCTTCAACATTATGATATAATCCAGTTCCTTCAGAAATGGTAAGATCGTTTGCCTTTCTTCTTCTTCTTTTTCTTCTATTTAACAGGAAACATCAGGATATAATTCATCCGTCCAATAATCTTCGTCAAACAGTTGTATCAAAATCACGTGGTTCACTCAGATTCATCCATTGACTTCAAATAATAGAGTTGGTGGTATTGACAGCTCAAAACTTGCCAGAACTTGAAAAGAGCAACAGTTAGCAAACCCGAAAAGGGCGTTTTCCCTTGTGCTATCTTTGATCAAGGATGATTTTCGCCAAGTGATTATGGCTAGGGAAAAGCACAAGAATGCCTCTATATAGCACACGTAGTTACAGAATCACGCCAACTGTATTTGAAACTAGCAAAAAAGCCTTGACAAAAACCTAGTCAAATCATAGTAAACATTCAATCTGTTGTTAAGCATATCTTGGAGCACATTACTCATATCAGCAATTGTTAGATAATTTTTAAAGGGGTGGGAGTGTTGTTGAGTCTACAGGATGTTCATCTCCATCACAGTTGAACTATATAAACCAAAGAACATCTCTTTTGCGGCTCACACGATTTTGTGGGATGTAAATGAATTATGCTTCACTTCTCAAATGCTAGTATGAAAGTTTCACAAGTGAATCAATAACCCTTTTGCACTAGAATCGAAAAAAAGGAGGTAGGCTCACATTTATCCATCAACTGTTTCCAAAACACCACTCCTTCATTTTTCACATCCACAAAGCTTTCTTAAAATTCTTTGCATGAATACTTCAAAATTTTTGTGTTTACAAAATANTTTTTTTTTTTTTTTCTCTTTTTTACTTAATGAAACAACAACAACAAAATGTTTGGCATACACATACGACATATCCCACACTAAGCTGAGTGATTTCCAGGAATAAAAAAGTTGCCCCTTGTTTTGCCTCTCCAGGAATCAAAACCTACAAGGCGCCTTCCATGTTTCAAATCCTACAGACCAGCCACAAGCCTCCTGAACAATGAAAACACATATTTTGTGGTATTTCCTGCTGTGTCATGAAGGGGAAGGTGGGGGATTCAAGCCTCAATCATGACAAACAGCTTGGAATGGAAAAAACCAAAATCAATTACAAGAAGTGTTCAAAAAATCCAATTTCGTCCAGAACTCAAGTAAATTTAGGAAAACAAAATTTGCCACAAACAATCCACATTGCAAATATAAGCAGAAAGAAAAGAAAAGTAAACAGAACCCCATTGCCAAACATGTAATTTTTATTTTTTTACATTTACTCAAAAGAAAAGCACAATCAATAAACCCAGTGGAACAGTTTGTAATTTCTGTATTCTGCATATGGATGTCAAGACATGCCTCGATTATTGTCATCGGATTGTCTGGTATCCAAATAAAGTATCGAATATGAACTTCCTGGAAATCATCCATTATAATCTACCAGTTTCATTTCCCCTTGTACAAAACAGAACAAGGTTAGAAAATATCTATCTATTTGGAGCCATATATATGATGCAAATCGTCAATAATATCACCAGTCTTGACCTCAAATTTTTCGGATTGGTGGGAACTCTAGCTGAACGTGCTTTAAAGAGGATAAAATCTAAAAATTAGTTGGAACTCTAGCATAATTNTTGGAGCCATATATATGATGCAAATCGTCAATAATATCACCAGTCTTGACCTCAAATGTTTCGGATTGGTGGGAACTCTAGCTGACCGTGCTTTAAAGAGGATAAAATCTAAAAATTAGTTGGAACTCTAGCATAATTCTCTGTTGATACCATATAATCATACCCTAACACGAATTTGCAATATCTTGAAGGAAATGGCTCTAAAATTTAAATATATATGATCCCGCCTATCATCACAAAGTTTTCAGAAACAGTATGCAACTTCTTTCTCAAACTACCTTAGAATAAGAGTTCCAACAGCTTCTCAAGATAACCAAGGGAAAAATGATCTAGACAACTTGGTTATTATGAATGAAAATGCAACAGCTTCACTGAATAGATCAGAGACTGAAGTTTTAATGCAGCTAAGATGACTCAAATGCAAAAGAAACAGGACAAAGAAAAACAGAAATAGAAAGGTGGCATTTGCTTTGATTGCAAATATACAGTAAAAAGAGTATACTAGTGCTGCAGAGTTCATAGTTTGTCGCACTTGAAATATCATAGACATCATAATGCAACTGAACATGATACCTTGATCTCCCAAGAAGAAATCGTCCTGCAGTTGATTCCTTTTGTGTATTAAATCCTCCGCAATACAGAACAGGCAAGCTAGGAGGTAAGGATGCAATATGCTGCCATGTGAGCAAAGCACTTCGCCTGCGAGCACGAGGACTGAACTCATCCATGTTTGTATTTACTATCTGAAATGAAAAGCCCGGTGGTTCAACTCCTTTTAGTTGGAATGTGTACACAATTTGTCAAGGAAAAAAATGAGCCATTTCCTTCCATCAACACGTAAAGACCAAACGCAAAAAGAAATCTAAAAGAACTAGTTCAAAAGGATATCGCCCATGTTGCAATACATGGTACTGCAGACCCCCAGGACATGCTTCCAGGAACTGAAGGTGACTCTGACAACCAAAAGGTTCCACCTTCTACCAGCTCCACCTACATTTAAGAAAAGAATATGTTGAAGATTGGAAATGAGTTCTATCGATTACTCAAGATTGGAAAGTGTAACAATATTAGGAAGAAGGATTCAGTCTGATACCTTTTCCTTATCGAAGAAAATAGTGCAATGTTGATCTGAAGTGTCTTCAGATCCTTTCCTTGAAATTCCAGATTGATCATAACCTTGTTGGTTTGAGAAAACCAGACCCATCATTAGTTGCGTTTCTAGGCTTAGAATCTCAGAATCTTAGAGTCAAAATATTAGGAACTGTCTGGAAAACCTGTGGAGATTAGTTCATTCCCATTCCTTTCCTATGTTATTGGGTTGCAAAACTTCACTCATTAGAATGGGATTATTGAAGAATTCAAGAATCATTTTACAATAGTATAGAGAGTTACTCCAATGATCTTTTAGATTTATGAACAGATCATTTCACATGGCTTGGACAACCACAACTCATTATGAATGAAATGTATCATGTAATATGATGATTCTGTTACTGCAAAAGGTCCTAATGTTCCACTAGTTCTTACATGGATGTCGGATCCATGAATTAACAATAACTCCCATGCCCCAAAAGACGGAATATTCCAGTATGTTCTACTCAGGTAAACATTGAGAAGGAAGTACGCAGTTCTAATATTGCATTTATGACAGGTCCAGCAGTCATGATAACCTGAAAGCTTTGCCAATATGTATGTGCCAAAAAAACTACAAGCATCGACTCAAAACACAAGTGCTTTCATCCGCACATTCTCAGTAGTCTAATATACAGGGGCATCATACAATGTGAAACGCCAAATTTGGTTGGTGTTTGGGGTTTGTGAAACCACTTACTCACTTCAAATCAAAATACTAAGGCCATCGACAAAGAGTCACAAGGCCAACAATGGGCAGTGGGCCTATTATGTGAAACCTCTATCAGATTGGGAAGAAACGTGTGGATTATCTCTATGACACCGTTTTCCACTGCTCAGCCCCATCTCTTTCTCCTACTGTAAGCACTCACACTTGCTCTACTATTTGCTATGATCCCTTCTTTGGAGGTTTATCCCACTCCTTAAGCTTTCTATTGCCCATATCCCTCTATTGTGTATCCTCCCACTCCCACACAGCCCTTGTCTTTATTTATACATGTTATCTCTCTCAGCCCTACAATATCAGCTGAAATTATTCCACCTCAAATGATAATCGCCACTAGAATTCACCTTAGCTAAACGATGTCCTAATCAAACTATTTTCACCAGCTAAACAAATTGCAACCATTCCGGAGGAGTTATAAATTTCTCTCAACGAATAGACTGACTAACAAGCCTTCTCTCAATGAATAGACTGACTAACAAGCCTTCTCTCATGCATCTAACCCATTCTTTTTCGGGCCATCCACCTGTCCTTTCAGCACCTTGATCTTGAACTACATATCTAAACAGTTCCTTCAATTGTTACTCTTCATTGCTTATGGCCAAGAATATCATATATTACTGTATCCTCAACTGATACCACCTTCTACCTTCTAGAGAATGTATCCATTTCATACTCCATCATTTCTTGTTTTTCCACTTAACCACTCAAGTTGTTAAATCCTATTACTTTTTAGAGATTCTCTTAGACCTAGAAGTTGATCATTGGCCATCAAAGGTTTTATACCATGAAAATATGGTAAACCCTAGCTATACCAGAAATTGACATTAACAACAGCCCCAAAGCAATCCAAATCATAAATCCACTTTATCCATTTTATGTGATGAGCTCATCTTGTTCATTAAAGATAATATATCAGTTCATGAAATTGGTCGTTATTTGGAGTCTCTTGGCAACCAGTTTTACCTATTTTTTCTTCAACTCGCTGAACATAAAACCTTTTAATTCTGAAGCATTTGTCCATACTGCATTATTATAATCCAGAAACACCATGCTATACTATGATTTACTCTATCGGTCCATGGCACTTGAAATGCACATAAGTAACCATGCAACAATCCTCTAGCAATATATCTTAATCAGTGCCACAAATGTGTTTTGCTAGTTTCTGAAGCCNTGATTTACTCTATCGGTCCATGGCACTTGAAATGCACATAAGTAACCATGCAACAATTCTCTAGCAATATATCGTAATCAGTGCCACAAATGTGTTTTGCTAGTTTCTGAAGCTCTCGTTGTGGCAATTGATTACAGACAGTGTGTGCTATAGATTTGTTGCTTACATCACATATCACACTTGATGACCAACTACTATAAATTCTCACTGCTAAGATCAGAATGTGAATTGCTGGAGAGAAACACACATTCAAAGCCATCTAATTTAGGTTTCTTAAGCAAGCTGGTTTGATTTCAGCAATGGGCAAAAGAGTCTACATTTCAACCAAAAACAGTAAAATAATAATAATAACAATAATAGGTAGGGTAGGCGAGAAGAACAAATTGTGAGAAGTATTACCTGGCAAACATTGCTGAAGGTAGTCCAACTGTGACTTCATACCTAACACCCAAAAATGAAAAACATCATTCAAAAGAGACCAAGATCAGCTAAAAAAACTATACTTCAATCAAAATCAAATAGTAGAACATTAGTTAAAATGAGTACAAGAAAAAATCATCCAACAGAATCCTTATTCATTTGTTAAATACATAAACAGTAAAACTCAATGAAAATCCAAAAGTATTAAAACCCATCTCCAACATACAAGGCAAAGCAGACCCAGATCAATCGTTTCAACAAAAAAGCACAAATACAATCAAGATCTTAAGTACATATACCTTGTTGAGTACAGAGGATCATTGGTGAGTAACTTGTGATAACACTTATACACAAATCTTTCCTCTTCTCCCATGAGTTTGGACCGTCTTCGGGCTGATCATCAAGAAGATTAAAGGTCATTACAGTGAGAGAAACACTCATTTTTCCTCAGTCTTTATGCGTTTCCTCAATTCATGGTCACGGATCAAGATGGCAAGTACCATACAGTTCTTCAAGAACAAAAGAAAAAAGCAAAGAATTTGTTCATCTGCTTTTTTCGCACTTGGTATCTTTAAACAAAGTTGTATAGTTTGATTCAATGATATATACAGGTGGGAGCTGAGTAAAAGAGCCGGTAACAGCGGAAGAGAGACAAGGACCATTTTTATGTCTGAAACCGAGGAAGAGGGTGTGATTTAACTCGCACGTGCGATGTCAAAGAGAGTCACGTGCTCAAAATGCATATTTTCCTTCCTGGGTGTAAAATACTAAAACCACCCCCAATAGGTTTTGATAATTTGCAACTTGGTCCATATGGTTTGGCACANAAATGCATATTTTCCTTCCTGGGTGTAAAATACTAAAACCACCCCCAATAGGTTTTGATAATTTGCAACTTGGTCCATATGGTTTGGCACACAGTTTTAAAACCCGGCCCGAACATCAACTCGGAGAAAGAACCGGGTCAATGGATTTCTGGTTCAAACACTGGATCACTGGTCGAATCGGTGATATAATAAAAAAATAAAAAATAATTATTAATGATGATAAATAGACTAAAAAATTAAAATAGTTATAAAAATAACATGTTTAATATATATTAAATCAAACAAAGTTATCAAGCCTGAATCACTTAATTGCATTTAATTAACAAACCAATGCATTCAATTAACAGCCCAGCCTCCACCCTCAAACCTGAATCATTTAATTGCATTCACTTAATTTTTGAGTTAACAAACACTCAAAAATTATCAAACCAATACATTCAATTCCAATACAATTTGCCTAATCTGCTATTAATCAAATCAAATATTCACTTAATTGCATTGTTCTTGAATTCAACTTCATAAGAATTCATACAAATCAAGTCTCAAGAGAAAGGCATAATAACACGAAGCAAAAACAAAAACCATCAGTATCATTGCAAAACCATCAACGTGAAACAAAAGCAAAAACCAGCACCAG